CAGTCTGTCTCCAGTCTGTCTCCAGTCTGTCCTCAGTCTGTCTCCAGTCTGTCCTCAGTCTGTCTCCAGTCTGTCCTAGGTCTGTCCTCAGTCTGTCTCCAGTCTGTCTCCAGTCTGTCCTCAGTCTGTCTCCATTCTGTCTCCAGTCTGTCCTCAGTCTGTCTCCAGTCTGTCCTCAGTCTGTCTCCGGTCTGACCTCAGTTTGTCCTCAGTCTGTCTCTAGTCTGTCCTCAGTCTGTCTCTAGTCTGTCCTCAGTCTGTCTCTAGTCTGTCCTCAGTCTGTCTCTAGTGTCCTCAGTCTGTCTCCAGTCTGTCTCCAGTCTGTCTCCAGTCTGTCCTCAGTCTGTCTCCAGTCTGTCTCCAGTCTGTCCTCAGTCTGTCCTCAGTCTGTCTCTAGTCTGTCCTCAGTCTGTCTCCAGTCGGTCTCCAGTCTGTCCTCAGTCTGTCTCCAGTCTGTCTCCAGTCTGTCCTCAGTCTGTCTCCAGTCTGTCTCCATTCTGTCTCCAGTCTGTCTCCAGTCTGTCTCCAGTCTGTCCTCAGTCTGTCCTCAGTCTGTCTCCAGTCTGTCCTCAATCTGTCTCCAGTCTGTCCTCAATCTGTCTCCAGTCTGTCCTCAATCTGTCTCCAGTCTGTCCCCAGTCTGTCTCTAGTCTGTCTCCAGTCTGTCTCTAGTNGTATGTTTATTCTTGTCATATATCTAAAATAAATTACTTTATTTTGAGAAATCTGACAAGTTCTTTTCACATTCATGACCAGAGGGGTGTTTCATGATTCTGATTTCATTTCTGCAAGATCTTGTGGAACATGAGTTTTATGAGATTAAGCTGGTATTAATCTCATAAAGCAGGGTTCTTTACAGTGTACAGCTTTAAAAAAGTAAATTCTACCCTGAATTAAAGAGTGAAGAAAAAACTCACATGTGTCGCTTATTTTAAAAAATTTACTTCAACAAATAAACTGAAGCTGGAAAGATCTGCAAATTAAAAAACAAGTAAATAAAACATTAAATTATTTTATCCTAAATAACTAATCTGTGTAATTTAGTCCTAAAACAATTTCAGAGAACTGGAATGTAAGAGTGATGAAGCCAAATAAATGTAACATGGGCCTGCCGTACAGTGAGCCTGTTGAACTGAGCCTCTGCTGCTCTCAGAGCACAAGATGGATTTATGACTGAAGAGCGTCCATCTTTTCATCATCTCTGTGGGGAACAACACATAAAACCAGTGTTTTCTCTGAAAAGTTGGTGTAAAAAACTACGGTTGTTAAAACTTCACTGTGTGATGTYAGAGGAGGACATGATCCTGTGACACCATGAAACTTTTCTACACAGGGACGGCAAATTAAAGCATTTATTCTCTGTACGTGTTCTAAAACACTATCATTCTTCTTTTATTTCCAGAATGTTTAGAATAAATGACCGTATAAAAATAAATAAAAGTTTTACCTGCCCCGGGCAGTGGGGCAGGACCATCTGTTGAAGCCTGATTTTTACTCTGAACATGTTAGAAACACGTCTGACCTCCTGCTGAAAGAAGAGCAGTTATTGTGTTGTTGTTGTTGTTGTTGTCGTCTCCTTCACTCTGAACCTGTAGGACTTCCTGCTGGCTGGAGACTGAGCGGTGACCTTTGACCCTCAGGTCAGATGTGGATCAGATGTGTCCTCCTACCTGCTCAACCTTCTTCTTCTTGTTGTTTGCAGCTGAACAAACGCTTCATCCTGAACCTTCCCTCCTTTAACGTGCGTTTGATTGACAAGGACGGCATCCATGACCTGGAGAAGCTGAGCGTGAGCTCCAAGTGAGGCCGTGTCACCAGCAGATCTGTGTTTTTGTACTGTCCTGTGTTCCAATAAAACCCTCAGCTCCTCCTCCTCCTCCTCCTGGTCCTTTGTTCTGCTTCAGAACCTCTGCAGCCTCCTGGCTCCCTCCTCTGAGTGCACGTTTAATCCTCACCACTACAAACATGTCAGTGGTTCTGGTCCAAACGGGTCAGTCCAGCAGGAGAACAGGAAGTGGAGTTGAGTGCAGTTAAAGTAAAGCAGGAGTGTTTTTATACTTTCTTACTTTTCTGCCAATATTTACAAAGAAACTTGATGTTTTTCTCTCTGACATGTTTCAGAGTGAAAACACTCGAACGCATCGCTGCAGCTCTCTGGAGGAATGAGCCTCTTGTTTATCCTTGTAACACTGTGTGTGTGTGTGTGTGTGTGTGTGTGTGTGTGTGTGTGTGTGCGTGTGTGTGTGTGTGTGTGTGCGCACAGATAACTCGCTCCTATCT